GATTAATAAATAAAGTAGGATAGAGAGATTGATCAATTTCTAAAAAATATAAGATCTATTCTAGTAACTCTGGTAAATCAAAAATATTTAGTTATGTCATTCTTAAATTATATATTATATATCTTTAATCAGAAAAAAATAGCTGATATTCGAATACTTAATTTAGGTGTATATATTATAGATTTTCCAGATATTCTCAATTACACTTAATTTCATAACTAGTTCCATCGAAGAATGTAAGAGTTTTATTTGGAAAGTCCACTTTCATTACATTTTTCTGGAACCAAGGCTGATCCAATATCAGCACAGATTCAAGTTCAGATTTATTGATAACAAAAACATTGGTAACTTTTACTTGCTTCTATTTCTGATTTTGAGACAGGACCGAAATTTCCATTGCATGAATTATTCCTAATATATTGAGCTTGCTAATAGGATTGTATATTTCTGTATCAGATATATTATCAATTTTCAAGCCTACTATTTTTGCTATACTCTCACCTATAATATTATAATTAGCACCGGAATCTAATATAGTTTTAACTGATACTTTATTAATTTCGCAAGATAAAATTCTCATCGTGATGTTTTATTATAACAATATATTTAATTATATTTTTTTTTGTGTATTAATAAATAATAATTCTGCATTTATAATGACTGAAGATAATATCAAATCTGTTATAAAAGATAATATCAGAGCTGGCACAGCTAATGCTATCTCATCTCAAGAATTTTATAAAGAGTTAGATGCATCAATCAATTTACAAGAATTATGTAAATATATTGAAATAATAATCAAGTCTTTAACAGATCAGCAGAATATTATTGGGGTAATATCCAGTATTTGTAGGCAAATATTGGATAAAAAAATTCAGATTTCTATCCACCAATTACTGAAGATAATGAAACCTGAAATTGGGCTAGAGATTATTGACTTAATAGCAAACCCAAGTATTATTAAACAATGATGTAAGATAGCCAGAAAAAAGATCATTCTTAGTGATTCTTCATCTTCATTCTCAACTGAATCAGGCTCTGAATATTCTAGCATCAATGAGAGTGAAATACATATACAAGTTTTTAAAACAAAGAAGTGTAGTTAGTTCTCATCATCATAGAGTCAGAATGGTCTTACTTCTTTAGGTTTTTATTCCTGCTTCTGATAATTTACCATGACATAGTTTTATACTGGAAAAGTATGGTTATCAGATAAATGATGTAGACATTCTCTAGTAATTATATAAGCATGGGTCATATTCTTAGTCTCATGTGCTACTACACCATAAACTGCTCCTAATTTACGTAAATATTTAGGAATTAAATCATAATCTTTTAAGAATTTATTGAACCATTTAACTCCTGGCTTATCTAGATCACCTATTCGTCCAAATGATATAGCATACTGAATCCAAGTGAGTAGTTTTTTGATTCGTTCTTGATTCTTTTCCATAGATCTAAATTTTCTAGGAATATCTGGCTGATCTCAATTTTTTGTATATCTTATCACTTCAGCATCTATAATATGTAAAGTTTTAAGTTTAGCAGGTCAAATACAAAGCATTATCATAATATCTGCGAGAGCTTATAAATCAGGTGAAGTTTTTAAATCATATGCATCTAATCTTTCTTTAACTGATTCTAATATAAATTCATCTGGATAATTGATACATTTAGTTTCAGCCTTTTTCAGATTGACATTCTGGATTTTGTTGGCATTTTCTGTAATATCTGGAAATTTTATAGCCTCAATTATCTCAAGTAATACATTAAGATTCCTTAATTCTCTACGAAGACAAGAGAGACATGATGAGCCAGCATTAGCATTTTTTACTAATAGGACTAAGGCATAAGCTTCAGCTCTTATATCTCTAATGTTAAGTTTATCCTGTAAAATCTGTTACACCATATCCCTAATTGTTTCTTCCTCCATCTCTTTAGAGAATTTATTAGTGATCACAATATTTAAGATTTGGCCAGAAGTACTTTCATATTGTTTGTTTTCCTGGGTAGAGAATAAGGTATTCACTTGATCCTCACTAAATCCATATCTATTCTGTAAGATTCATTTTGCTTTCTCTCTGATGATCTCTTCTTCTAGATTTTTTGGGAGTGATACTAGAACTATTCTACAATTACTTTCGACAATATTTATAGTTTTATTTTTTCCACTTCTCTGATTAGATATCAATACATCTACCTGTTCGCTACTAAATTTAAAATCATCCTGAAGACATCTGCGCATCTGATTTTGCTTTCTATTATCAGTAAGATTCTCAAGAAATTCTGAGGTATATTTGCTGAGATCGGACACACTCATCTTGGGACTGAGATTGTATTTTTCAATAATTTTAGTTGTGATAGCTGACATGATTAAATATTATAGTAGGTCAAGTAGTTTATGAACAATTCTTTAGATTATATATACTATAGAAAATATTTTTTCAAATTGAAATTAATTATCCATGGATTAGTATTGCTATATCAAAAATTAAATGGGTCATGGTTATTATAATTCTATCAGAAAATGAATGAGTGGAAATAACATAATTATGTTATTTTCACTTAGTCTAGGTTATTCCCACTCAGATATATGTCATGACGACAGAAATATGACACCGTCATTAGTGTTATGATGATAGAAATGTGATACCATCATCAGTGTCATGATATATATTTTATGACCTATTTTTGATAACAGAAATACAACACCATCATTAGTATCATGATATATATTTTATAACATATTTTTATAATATACCAGTTTGATATCTGTGACTTATTTCAAGTATAGAACACTCTCTGATTTAGGTTATGATAAGCTAGATACGTATCGTGATAACAAAAATATGATATCATCATCATATAAATCATTATATATTAGGATGATAATCCTGACCAATTTCTATTATAATAAAATAACTGAGGTAGATTATGCTACTCGGGTTGGCCTCATCGCATGTTTGATGAGTCAAATATATTTTATGCATCATTTGATAATATGTGTTTACTTATCACTCTCAATTGATTTTCATTGTAATAAAATAACTGAGGTATGTTATGCTACCAGATTGACTTTATTGCCAGTTTGATAGTACCAACAATGTATTCAATTACATATCATTATTTGCTGATCTAATATGAAGGCTATTATATTTTGATTATCTGAAGATTTGTATTTTAATATAATAAAAAATGTCTGATGATTGTACTTATCTATTCGGTCATGAGCCTAGTGAAATTTGTAGAGGAAGTAGTCCAATACCTAAGGAATATAGTCATTGGAAAACTACAAGTATATCATGTAAAGTATGTGGTAAACTGACCTTTTCAATTTCTGGTTGATACCTATTGCATATTAGAAGATATTATGATAAACTTTGATTAAATGTTCGAAAACCTGATATAAAACAAGTGATAAAAAAAAATAATCATGTGAATGCTATCTAGTCATGCTATCAGATATGTTATATATAGCGGAGCTAGTGTCTCTGACACATAAGAGGGTGGATGTATAACACCATTTTTTACTATGAATAAATCTGAAGTTTCCTACTACGACATATATCCAAAACATATCGAAAATATATCATTAAAAAGTGAGATATTCTTCTGGAAGATTACTTCATCTTGATCTACCCAAAAATATACCATTGAGCACATACCCAAAAATATATCATTAAAAGGGTATTCTTCTGCCATTTTTCTTATAATATATTATCACACTTGAATATTCTTGATGATATATATATGAAAATATACCTGAAAACATATCATTGAAAAGGTATTCTTCTGCCATTTTTCTTATAATATATTACCGCACTTGAATACTCTTATTAACATATTATTGAAAGGGTATTCTTCTGCTATTTTTCTTATAATATATTACTATACTTGAATATCTCAAACACATATCCCGAACACATATCCAAAAACAAATCATTGAAAGAGTATTCTTCTGCCATTTTTCTTATAATATATTACCACACTTGAATATCTCGAACATAGATTGAACTAGCATGAACGCGACGAGCATGAAAAAATCTGAATCATTTGAGAACATTTTTGTGTATTATATTTTGAGTAATTTCTCAGTTTGATCTTGCAGAACAAGGAATATGTGATTGTTGTAATACAATTTGCGTGTATTTTGCGTTGTATTATAAATTGTTCTAAGGACGAACCTGTGAATATCATCTGCGAAATTGACGTGTTTTATAGAGTTCATGGTGGTACTTGAGCTACGGATGAAGTAAAGCAAGAATAGATTGATATCTCACTCATTTCTTTGTGTATAACTTCTAGAAAATCAATTCATCACTTCATTATGAATTCGCGCGTAAAACAAAATTTGTATTGAGAGATGCTTCAATAGATGAATTAGCTAGATTGCATACCCCGTATTAAATAAATTAATGGTCAGGGTGTGGTTCAAACCAGTTATTTTTTGTATGCGGTGGGTGATCATTATACTGATAATGAAATACACATAACACGATTGATATTTCCAGATCTTCATTAAGGCATACAGTAATTTATTAATAGTAAATAGGTCATTAGTTCACAGTAATTACAAAATCAAACCATAGCCATTTTGCTAAGCTAATCTACCTTAACTCTTTTATTTCCACCTTCCAATTCTTCCGCTTTTTGAACCTCTTCTAGTAGCCATATGATATGAGAAAGAACTTTCTCTACCTTGACCTTCATATCCTCATCCTCGTATACAACAACAGCTGGTTTTGAGAGCTTGAATGATGATTTTTCTTGATTATCCAGTATACATTCAAGGAAGTAGAATTCTTTTGCATCAGTTACAATTGCGAAAACAGAACCAATAACTTGTTCAGTTTCCAATTCATCAACCTTTCATTTGCGACTCGCCTATACACATAAATCAAAACAGTATTTACGTGAGAGATATAAGGCATCCAGAAAAAAACGAAAAAAAAATAGTGAATTCTTATGCATACTTGTATACTCACCAATGATGATTCCATTTATACGCTTGCCTGAGCAATACCTTGCAAAAAATCCTCTCTCTTGACTTCTACAACGCTGATAATCTGTCCTGTCGCACATGATTCCATCACATAATCAGTTTTACCTTGCCCATTTTTTCCTAGTGAGGATGGAATAGTGTAATAAGAATTTATATATTTTGTAAAAAGTGTACTCAATACATTAATGAATAGGAGCAATATAATTCCACATACCTTCAATGAGTTTTTCAGGCCAGATCCTTATCAATATTTCGAAGAGCGAGACAGCAGATGCAAGGTACAAGTAGGTATATATTATTTTTGTTGCTTCATATGAGAGGTTGATGGGTGTTGTGGCAAGGCAGGTTTTTAATTCTAACATTAATTTATCCAGGGTGGTTTGGAACTTTTTGGTTTTTGTATCAGAGCAACCACAAAAAAAGATTAGAAATACGAATACATCTGGATTCGGATCTTCACTAAGATTGTAGAGTTGGCAAACTTTGAGAAATGTCTAGTTGTTAAAAGTCTTGGAGGGGGTCTCTATAAATACAGTAAACTTGAAACTGTTTTTTGAGACAAGGAGATGGAGCATTTCACGAAATTCTTGGTTATTTCGAGATGAGTATTTTGTGCTGTCGCATATCATGTTGAATACTGCTCCATCATTTTCAAGTGCTGGTGTTTGGTATACTGCACGTATAGAATTTTTGAGAGCTTTAAGGGTTGCATACTCAATATTCACTGTCCACTTGAATCCCTTTGTCCATTTCGGGCTTATGACAACATCGAATTTTGCAACACAATAGCTAGATTAGTAAAAATCTTTTTTCAGAATATAGTCTGATCATTCCCTGAGAGAATGATTTTTGCCAAGAAATTTTATACATATACGCACCATGGACAGACTTGTTAATTGATACTTCTAATGACATGATTCAGTTGAGCAATTCTTGTTCATGGCTCGAACTGATGATTTGTACCAGTGGCTCGACTATGATGTGAATATATCGCTTTGGTAGTGCAGTCCAGTAATCTCCTACATCTCGAGTTGTCAGAAGTTCATCAGATAATTTGGGGTTAGCCAGCTAGAAATCATGATCATCAGGAATTTCCACTTTCTATAACCTGAGTTTGTCAGCAGGGATATCATCAAAACGTGGTGCCTTCTTCATCTTAACAATTTCTTTGAGGTGGCTTATTAACTTGCCACTATCAATATCAACAGCGAAAGTATTCGCGGATAAGTTTCCTTTAACCAAACAGACCAGAGTAATAGACATTTCGAGCTATATATGATTTTTTGGTAGATTTTTATTGGTAGACTGTGGATGGTACACAAGAAAAAAGTGAAAAAACTACAAATTCTACCGAGCATGGGTATATGTGAGGAATGTATTCGATTTCACAATGCATGTATCACATTACTTTTTGGCAGAAATTTTTCTGGATGATCATTCTCCAAGGGAACAGTTCATATCATATGATATATTGATTGAACATCTGTGTTATGCAATCGATTTTATTACTAGATATATCAGTATTTTTCCAGGATGGACCGTCTCACAAATTTTTATGGCAAAAGTGATTGGCATGACAATTACATGATTTTTAGAAAAAATATCATGGATTTATCTATCTCATAATACATCCAAAATAGATTTTATATGTCAAAAATAGATCTACAGTACACGAGTGATTTATATATAAATATCACCACAAATAAATTCTTATTGCAAAGCAGGCCTATAAGGGCGAGTTACACTCATGGCTCTTCGAGCCTAGAATTAGCTCTAAACTATAACCCTTTAGGGTTGTCCCTTTGGTCCTGCAAAGTATCAAATCTCTGATTCTTCTTCAGATCTACAACTCTTCTTACAACCCAATATGAATCTCATTGTATACATCACCTGCAAAATATAATGATTATACACAATTTATCTAATAACCCAGGTCCTATAGGGTGCTCTTCGAGCATCCGCACTAAAAATGAAGAAGTGATGAAAAAACTTAATCCTAAAATTAAAATTGAATATCCTAATTATTCAGATAAAAAATGATTTGATT